CCTATGTCACAGGGATGCTATTGTAGGGAACTTGTGACTAGAGTGTGCTGTGTAAATCTCAAAGTGCTCTTTGAGTGCCAATCATTAGACAAAGTACTCAAAAATGGTGGAAAAGTGACTTCCAACCAAGGCTCCAACCAAGGAGTTCATCAAATATTGAATCACAAAAGAAAACTGTGCCTTTCACAATTGTCTTCTTAGCTTTAGAGATGCACACAGGTCCACACTGATCTAAAGCTGAGTTCATAATAATCAATATACCTCTTATCAGGAAACTAGTCTTGATTCTCATATAAATGAGTACCTCACTCTATCAAGGAAAAAAAAAGTATGAAGACTCTGTGACATTCAGATTTCAAAGAAATCAGAGGTCTTGATAGTACTGTGGACTTGATAGGAGAGTGGACTAACAAGAGGATTGATGATATGCCACCTTGTTACAAGTGTCGAGATGAAATAATGGAAAGAATGGAGAAGATGTCGAATGTTGATCAAGCTCTGGGCAATCCAATTCATGAGTTAACCCTAGTGAAGACAAAAATAAATAAATAAATAAATAAATAAATAAATAAATAAATAAATAAATACACCAAAGATCAAAACAAAGAAACAAACAAACAAAAACTAAAAAACTATCCTCTGAGTAGTTCAAACAACAATCAGCCCTGCAATACATTCAAAGCATGTGACTTTCCTTAGTCTGTTTTCCTTTTTGGCTATAGAGGTCCCAGAAGTGGATACAGATTCAAACTTACTAGTGCTGGTGGGGGGGAAGCTAAAAGAAGGGGATCCCTGTGCCTCTTCTTTTTCACCCCCCCCCCAGGTCCAAACACTTCAACTGTTCGGCTTGGGAGACTTAAAGAGTTTCACTTCCACCTGGCTGCAGGAACAGCAAGGTCAAGACTGGGTCCAAATTGAAACAAACACGATCAAAATACACCCAGACTCTCACACACCCAGAGGCGCGCGCATCTCTGGGCTATGGGGTGCACGTGAGCCCACACCCCACACATTCAGCCCTGCCTCTAGCCAGAGCATCCTTAGCAGCTGCCACTGAAGCAGCCTCCTCATTCCCTTCCTCCTCCTTCTACCACTGCCACTGCTGCTGCTGTGATCGCCTATCCCCTCTCATCCTTCTTCCTCCCCCAATCCCTGCTCCTCCTCCTCCAATCCCCGGCTCCTCCCAGCAGCTAAAGGCAGAATCCTCGGCAGCAGCTTCCCTTCTCTCCTGCCACGAAGAGGTTGGAACAGGTTTGTGCTGGGGGGGGGGGTGCTTTGTGGTGGGTTGCTGGAACACTGGTGGCTCTGGGAGGAGCTTAAGGCAGAGAAGGGGAGAGTATTTCCCAGTTTTCTGTGTTGCCTTATGAATAGATTCGGGGAGATAGTGTAGAGAGGCACCTCTGTCCTTTTGCCATTTCTTCCCTCTTGGTTCATGGCGAGAGAGCACTGAAGCTACTCAGACGCCTGCTCCCGGCTCCCACCCATTCCTAAAGCTCTTTCTTTGCGTCCCCACTCCCAGCATCCACATCCCAAAGCTGAGCTTTCTCTTGTTCTGGGAGCTAAGGGATGGGGGCGGGGAGAGATGGATGGAGTGGATCCAGCTGGGCACCTGGGGGCCTGGGGCTTTGTTACACAGGACAAAAACAGTTCTTAGCAGCTTCCAGATCCTGGTTAGGCTGCTGTCTGCTAATGGTGTGGGGTGTGTGCCACTGCACACTAGGGAAGTAAGAGAATGTGGGGGGGGCACTCCCTGTGTATGACTGGGCATACAGGAATGCAGTACTGTGTGCCAGGGACGTGGTGTGGATTTTGTGTGGAATTTTGTGTGAGTTTGACTGGTGCATTTGACTCTCTCTATCTTTCTCACTATGTGTCTGTGTGTGTTCTGTGCCATGGGGCTGGGCAGCTGTTGGCATTTCATGTCCTTGGGTCTCATCGCATGCCAAGCCTGACTGCAGCAACATGCAGGCAGGCTGATCAGGTCCAACCTGTTCTGCTCACATTGGAAGGGTGATGATGACTTCAAAGTGATGGAACCGCCCCACCCCCTGCGTGCCTGGGACAGTTGCTTAGTACTTTCTGTATGTGAAATTTCCACCTAGGTTGACCAAAGCCCAGCGGACATATTGATTGTGATCCCACAACCCCACCTACAGAAGATTCCTAACTTTTTTGGCATACTTTCTTCTCCCAGCCAATGAGATTCCAATGCTCTTAAAGGTGAACTCTGCAGTGCCTTCTCCACCTCAAGTGATTAGTAGAGCCTCATTTTTTCTTTACAGGGAGGACATTTGTGTTGTGCTAGGACATAGTTGCATGTTCAGAGAAATGGGAACAAATCATGTGCACTTATTAATTAATCATGATTTTACTCTACAGGGTCGTTTTTTTCCCCCTTGTAACATGAGATAAAGTGTGTAGCCATTTTGTTTTGAATCAAAGAAAGACCAGTAAAAATGAACAAAACTCCTTAACTTTTCTTGAACATTTTTATTTGTGCTTCTGATAATATATTGCTTTTCAAGTCCTAAAACAAGCAGTTAAGAATTTCAACCAGCCAAACAACCAACATTTATGGCACACCTGCCATAAATGTTAGGTACTGGAAATACGGAAATGAATAAAACATCAGTTCTCAGGGGGTGTAGGCTGTTATGCAAGCCAGAGCTTGGAAACTGCATGACAAGGGATGGGCAGGATACTGGGGAAGCACTGAGGAGAGATGCCGAGCTGGGGGTGGGGATTATGATCAAGATAGGCTTCCCTGGGAAAGTGACATTTGAGTCAAACAACTCTTGTGGAATGAATGCACCAGGTGGCTAAATGGAAAGTGGAATCCTAAGCTCAATGAGAAGCATGTGCAAAAGCAGAGAGGTCATACTTAAGTAAAACTGCAGGGAACCTGAAGTATTATTGTCAAAATCTCTGCAATCCAGAATTGGTCTCTGTGGATTAGAATGATGAATAATGATGAATCTGAAAAGAGCCAGTATTACAGATTTGGTGACAACCGAAAGGCAGCCCCATCAAGAAATGCTTGCCTCATTTATTAAAATATGTGTATTTTGCTTTAAACATATCTGATACATGTGATTGTAGATTTGAAATGCAAATGAGCTTAATGGGACACATTCAGGTCACAGAATTTGCTGCTTTACAAATGGGCTCACAATCAGATACTCTTAAAATAAAAACACTCTCTCTCTGGCCTTTATAGTGAACATGTTTTTTTTTTGTTTGTTTGTTTGTTTTTTTTCCCAAAATTGCATTTCCATAAAATGTTTCACATAGCCAGTGTATAAGGCAAGTATATCTGCATTACATAGACTTCTTATGCAACAAGTTACCAATTTCAATGCTGGTATTTTCCCTCATGCTGTGAATGTTTAATAAACACTTAAGAGAAAATAAGAAAATGATAGCAATAAATACCAAATCTATTAGCTGTGATCTTTTGTCATTTAATTCAGATGAGATTAACCAGGGCAGAATCTTCAGGGACTTTTAACATTTTAGGTACTTTTAGTAGTGTCACTGGTAATTAATGGTAGCACAAGATTTTTGTGCTCTGTACTGTTTTGAAATGGATATATAATGACTACTCTAATACTCATGCAATTGCGATACACCGGAAGCTCATTTGGACTCTTCTGTTTTACTCTGTTGATGTTGATTACATAGGCTGATGAATACTACTAGGACTGAACCTGGAGGTTCATGATTCCCTCTCAAAATGCCTGATGGTCCAAGGTTTTGCTGGTTCAGAGTATGAACTCCGATAATTTGACTTAGTACGATAAACACTTCTCCCCTTAAATGAAACCTCCAGTAGCCCTGGATTCTGGTTGAAAGAAATATAAGCAGAAATGGGCTGGAGTAGAATCCGCTACTTAGGTCATTTGTCCAATGAATGCATTAAAAAAGAGTGGCCTGAGGTCTTTTGGTTGCATGAAGGTTCTTTGTTCATTAGCTTTGGATAACAGAATGTATCAGGCAATATCTCCAAAAAGAAAAGACCGTGCCCCAGTGCCTATTAGCTTGGGTAGGAGTGGAGCTGATCTGACTGCTATCAATACAAGTCCTGGTCCAGTACTTCTAGATATGCATTTCAAGTAAGACAGAACACTCATAGGTCAGATAGAGTGAGAGGGTGGGGAAGAGAGTTTTGAAGTCAGCTTTGAAAAATTCTTGCTTAAAGAGCATAGGTTTGTTAATTCCAGAGCTTCTAAAAGAGTCTGCTAGGCAAATGCATATTGTGACTCTCCAGGAAAGGAGACATATATAGAATTGCCTATAAAATATATATGTTTGCCTATAAAATCTCAGTGTTCCACTTGTTAGATTGGTGTTGAGAGTATTTGAGGACTATGCTGATCAAATAGATCCTTCTGCTGAGATCAGAGGCAGTTGGTACCTTGCTGGGTAAACATGGATGAAAGATAAGCTGGATGACTTGGCTTCACCAGTGTCAGACTTTCTTCCCTCCTCCTCCTATAAAATGAAGCTGATAGTAATCATTACTCTCACTGCTTGTGATGGTGTGATAACAACTAAGATAATATCTTTGAAAGTATTTTGAGTTCCTCAGAAAAAAAGCTGTATATGAACTCCAGGTTATTATGAGAGGAAGTGAAGAATTACGGAAATCATTCCTGACTATTCAGGCCAAAATCCTGTTTATCTTCTGCATATGGGCAACTGACCTCAATTCTCTGCTCTGCTTTGACTATGAGGACCTATTCTTATTCAATCTTAGGCAACTCAGTTCTCTGAGCTTACTTCCTTTCACATCCTGGAAATTTCACTGTGCCCTTTAATTTCCTGATCTGCAGTTGCCATCAGTCCAGATTCAGTAAACACCATCAAATCTGAGCACATCCTGCTGACCAGAGAACACTGAGGGTGGGAATTAAATTTGGTTGGATAGTTGGTTTTATTCTTCACACTAATTTTTTTTTTTTCAGAAATCATTCTCAAGGATCATTTCTGAGAGCTCATGGCTTCAGGGTTCCTCGCCAGTAACTCAAGTTGCCATTCAAGGTTGGGGTCTTGTTTGCAATACAGTATTTTGTCAGTGCTGAGGCCAACTTTAAGGGAATGTAAATACAAATGAAATTGTATTCTCATGAGCATTGAGCTTTCCTGATTGACTTAATATTGTAAATTCTTTTCTTTACAAACTTCTTTCAATGGAGAATGGACCACTTGAGAATTAATAGCTAATCACCATAGCAAACTTGAGATTGAACTTGATCAGGGATTGTTGGAGGTTTTGATTTTAGACTCTTCTCTGCAACAATTAGTTCTTCTCCACATGAAAACAAGTTGCAGTTGCAATAGGAAGGATTTCACTTAGCCATACATAAAAGAAGTCTTTTCGATTTTACAACAGTGTGTTGCTGAAAAGTGAAATAATAGCTATTTTGTGTTCTGGGACACATAATTGTGATATTAGACTAGGAGTAAAGAGTCATTGAATGGAAATTCTGTGGAAGTTTTGTTTGGATGATAAAATGAGGACAAGATAACTGACTTTCCCAAGGTCACATAGCTACCAAGTGATAATAGTCACCCTAATAAATAAAAAAGTTTTCTCTTTGGGATAGGAGTGGGCACACTTGTGGAGGTCAGACACAAACTTTCAGGAGACAGTTCTTTCTTTCTACCATGTGTGTCTTGGAGATTAAACTCATATTGTCAGGAAAATGCCTTTACCCACTAAGAATGAGCCATCCTGCCAGCCCAATGTACTGCCTCCTGATTTCTTCTGACTCACCAAGCCAAGTAGCCAGCTAAAGAGTGAGTATTGGGTATTCATAAGGCTTCATAGGGCTCTTTGTCTTAAAAAAAGATTTATAACTACCAAGATGTAAAAACTGGGATGTTTGAATCACACACTGAGAACCTAGAACAGAATACCCCACAAAAGCAGGGACAGAAGAAATGTAAGAACTAGGGACTCAGGGCACACGATGCTAGATAATCGCCAGAGTTGACAGGAAAAATGTATCCATGAAATTTCAGTAGTTACCTGAACACACCCAGCATAATGACATTACAAAATGACATGCTAACATGGCAAGAGGAATTCTACAATGCCCCACTTCTAGGTGAATAGCTGTAGGTGGTAAATTGCTCCTGAGAGAGGTAGGATCAGTTTCCTCCAAGGATGATCTTCTACATAGGTTATCCTATTCCAAATAGTCAGCCCTGAACACATGTACATATAAGCAACTCTAAATAGACTCAGTTATATATATGTGTGTGTATTTGAGTGTGTGATATACATATGTGTGTGTGTGTGTATTTATATATGTGTGTATACATGTAACAATAATAGTTAAGAAAAGATAATGAATTTTGAAGGGAAAGGGTGAACATGGGAGTAGTTGCAGCAGGAAGGCAGAGATGGTAGAGATGTAGGTGCAGTATTCAAGTAGGAAGTTCTTAACCACACTGAAGGGCAGGCTCTATGCCTAACAGTAGATGGTCAACAGAAAAATAACTCAATAGTATTTCCACAGATCTGTCTCATTGCTTTGTTTGGGCACGTTTAAAAATTCTTACTGGGTAGCCTAGTAAGGGGAACAGGGACTGTCTCTGACATAAACTCAGTGGCTGACTCTTTGATCGCTTCCCCCTGAAGGGGGACAGGCAGCCTTACCAGGCCACAGAGGAAGACAATGCAGCCAGTCCTGATGAGACCTGATAGGCTAGGGTCAGATAGAAGGGGAGGAGGACCTCCCCTATCAGTGGACTTGGAGAGGGGCATGGGAGAAGATGAGGGAGGGAGGGAGGGTGGGTTAGGGAGTGGATAAGGAAAGAGGTTAGAGCTGGGATACAAAGTGAATAAATTATAATCAATAAAAAAAATTAAATATGCTGGGAAAATTTCTTACTGTTCTTTTGCTTGCATTATTTTTGCTAATTTTGTGTGTTTATGGTTTTGTGTGTGTGTTTCTCATGTTCTGTTTTTAAAATTATGATTTGTTTTGTTTATATGTTTTCTCAAGAGAGAGAGAAAGGGAGAGGAGTTGGGTGGGGGGAAGATAGGGGGGATCTGAGAAGACTGAGGAAGAGTACAAAGCATAAAATCTTTTTTTTTCAATAAAAAAGAAATGAGCAAAACAAAAAGTTGTATCAAAAGCTGGAACACTGTGACCTTGAAAGGACAATAGAGATTAAGGAGAAGGGGCTGAATATTGTGGGAGAATACCACAGCCTATCTATTGCAGCCAGTCCTGATGAGACTTGATAGGCTAGGGTCAGTTGGAAAGGGAGGGGGACCTCCCCTATCAGTGGACTTAGATAGGGGTAGTAAGGAGATGAGGGAGGGAGGATAGGATTGGGAGGGAGTGAGGAAGAGGACTACAGCTTCGATACAAAGTAAATAACCTGTAATTAATATAAAAAATAAAAATTATTTGTGTATAATGTTTTATGAATTCTTTCCTAATTTCATGAAATGTATTTTAAATATATTAACCTTCCTCAACTCCTTTCTTTATCAACCTCTCAACAACCCCATTTCTTCCCACCCAACTGTGAGATAAAGTTTTTTTTTTCCCTTTTCTTTCTGATCAAATCCATTTTGTGTTGCCCAGCTATTCCTGGGATTTGGGCCTGCTCTCCTGTGTAGTCAGCTTGCCAGGATGTCAAATCATAAAATATTCATGCTGGTCCTTAATCAAATGCTAGACAGTAAGTCATGTTGGATCCTATGAAAGAAGAGAAGCAAGAAACCCTAGCAATACATGGAACATATGTAATAAATAGTCATCTTTAGTAATTTAAGCAAACATGCTTTTTAATACATTTCCAACTAGAACTGTATTTAAAGAATTTTCTAGAGCACATCCCTGTAAAGTCCCTGTGAAATAGATGGCCTTTTAGGTTTACCTCTGCTGGCAGTGACCAAAACACCTGCCTGTGACAGACTGAATTAAGAACTATACATTGTATTAGGAAACATGTGGCAGTAGGCACAAGACCAACACAATCTCAGACCAACTGAAATCACAGCATGGAGAGAAGGGAATAAGTGGGTACCAAGTCCTACCCTTTGCTAAAAAGCTGTATGTAATTGATAACTACTGGGAGAGGGAAATCAGTTTTTGTCAAGGAAAGTGACACTGGGTTTATCAGACACACACCATGGGCAGGCTCCATACTCAGGAGTAGTTGGATAGGTGGAGAAGGATCTCAGAGGGGTTGGGAGAGGGTAAAGAATATGATCAAAATATACTGTATAATTCTCAAAATGTAAATTAGGAAAATTTAAAGACAAACAAACAAACAAAAAGAAACTTGGGAAAATGTTATTGCTGCATGTGCACTGACCTTGGAGGGTAATGAGATAGATACTAGAATGTTTTGGACATTGAGTGTTCAGTATTAATCAGCGACTGTCTAATTGTACTTGCTGCAAAGAGGCAAATTTGAGGCCTTCCCATGAGAAGTATTTAAAGAGAAATAAACACTCTCTGCAAAGGGAATAGTAGCAAGAAGGCACAGGTGTGGCTTCCTCTCTTGACTGGCCTGGCCTTCCTTCAACTGCTTATTCCTCTTCTCTGGCAACATTCAGTTGTGGATGAAGGAGTTCTGCTGTTTGCTTTAGATAAGTGGTAGGCTCTATAATTCAGAGGCAGATAGAAATCAGAGTGATCATTTGAGTGAGTTAAGGATTGTCTGAAGAGCATGGTGAGAACTGACATCCTTTGAGTGTGAAAGAGCTATAGGAGAGCATGAAAGCTGTGACAGTTTTTGCTTATTTGTTATGTAGATGGTGAATTTATCTGAAAGGGAAAAACATTCCTAATTAGACATTACCAGGAAAGGCTCTGACATATTCGCTGCCACTTGTTATCTAACAATTTTCCAACTTCTCTAGAGAGGAATATAGGTGCCTTCAAAGTAAAGCCTCTATTTTGATAGAGCTAGGAATGCCCTTTGCAGTTATCCACCCATTCACTTTCTCTACTGTGGCATTTGCACAACCAACTACAGAAATCTTTCCAAGCTATTGGAAAATGGGTGGGTTATTACCCTCAAAGGAATGATTGGGGTTACTTGAGTTATTGACAATTATGAATTGTGGTTTCTCGCTTCAAAATCTTGGTATTTGGCAAATGGTTTTAGGTCTTATTTAATACATTTATTTTCTCTTCAAAGAGATCAGACTAGAGTAGGAAAAGTTCAGAGGAGAGCTTACAGGCAGATGTTGTCATCCTTAATCTTTGTTGCCTTAAAAAATTGTTTCAGTTGTTAAGCTAATGAATGTCCTGATTTCAAGCTGGGTTGCTTCTTTGTTAGTGGTGAATGCTTTAAAATTTCAACACAAAAACACAGCTATGCTTTCTACACATAAATCGTATGATGCATTTGTACTGATTACTAGAGTAAAAGATATTTTATTTTTAAACAAAGTCTTTATCATTTGACATGTTTTTTTTTATCTTTTGTGTTTGTGCATGTTGTGTGTGTGTGTGTGTGTGTGTGTGTGTGTGTGTGTGTGTGTGAGAAGCGTGTGCCATGCATGACATATGGTGGAGGTCACAGGATAACTTTAGGTGTCTGTTCTTACATTTCCACCTCAGTTTTTTTTTTTTTGAGACAGAATCTCTTACTATTCAATGCACACTTTGTTTGTTGACCTGTGAACTTCCATTTCTGCCTGTCACCTCACACCAAAGAAGTGGTGGACAACAGACACCTACTTCCGTGTTTCGGCTTTATTTGAGTTCTGGGGCACTAAACTCAAGTGTTTTCACTGGGTATCAAGCGTTTTACCCACTGTGCCCCTCCCTGTGTTTTTGTTTGGTTTGGTTTGTTTATATGCTTTTTCATCATCTAACTTATCTCCAACTGGATTGGAACTTGTGAGCCTCTCAGTCACACGTCTTGAGATTACAAGCATGTACTTAGATATCTGACTTTTCTTTCACATGTAACAACTTGTTACTTTTGATAGAACTAGGGAATCTCATGTTTTTTACATAATGAATTAGCCTGTGAATGTAAGGTTGTTTTTAAAATTCTGG